TTTACCCGTGCCAAGCGACGGGTAAAAAATAATTTCTTTTAGAAATTAGTTTGTAGAAGCAATTAGTTATTTTACGCAAATGAAGTTTTAGTTTTAGTTATTTTAATTGTAAGTTAAAAAATTGTAGATAAAATGGCTTGACTTTATTTCGAAATAAACTTTGCTTTTAATTTCAAGATAAAAGTTGTACTTCAATGTGATTTTTATTTTCACTGTATACAACATTGCACAAACAAAAGTTAAATAAAAAACAAAAATACAATAAATGCTATTTCTTCGACATGAAAATAGAACATTAAACAATTATTCAATGTATAGTCTAATTAGAATAATTTACAATTATAAAAAGCAATATTATCCAAAGAATATTTGGTCATAAGAAAGTTAGACAGGAGATGTGTGTTTAACAAATAAATAGTCATTCTAATTGAATATACAAAGTTGTACTTCAATCTGCTTAATTTCCCCACAAATAGCCCATCTCACGTCCGAATTATGGTTTCAAGGAGGACAACTATTTCCTACATATCTGCAAAAAGAAGTATTGAGTATTACTTGCTACTTCAAGCTCATAATCAGCCTACAACATATTAACATATAGTTCTATCTTATAAAGATCAAGTGTTGCATTGGGCTATCAAAAGTACAAAGTGTTTTTAGATTTTAGTTGGATAAAGCCACAAAGTATGGGGATAAAACGATGTCTAAATGCAAGATAAAGTTAACATGCCATCTTTTATTTAAAAGGGGGTATATGTAAAATAATCATACTACATACAAAGTAATTAGGATTAACTCATAGCAACCTACTTATTTAAAAAAAAATCTTAAACAGACAACTATATTCAGATTGAAAGTAGGATGCTAACGCTAGAGACAGAAATATGCTTAAAAGAGCCAAATATTATAATTACCTAGAGGCTCTGATGCAACTTTGCAATGTACTTTCATTTTTTAATGCTAGAATCAAATATTTAAAAGACTCTATCCTATCAACTACAGACCTAATGTAATTTTCAATAGCAAGGATCATCTCTCTTCTTCATTTTTTTAATTACCTAGTATGTGGTTTTCTATTTTTTTTTCTTGTTTTGGACATTTTTGCCCCTCGTGCTCCTGTTCCCTTGGAGGAGATCTCTAACAACTTAGTGGTTTTGTCTTTTGACATAATCCCTTTAGCACACTTGTTCCTTAGCCATCACAAGTTGTATAGAGCTGCAAAAAAGGGAACCAAGAACAAAGAAAGAGTTAAGAAAAGAAAAGGAAAAGATACTATGCAAGATTGGATTGCCTAAACCAAGTGAAAAACCCAAACCATCAACTTAAACTTTACCAGATCATGCACAAGCCATATGCAGGTAATTAGTAGTATTTAAAAAATCCTATAAATTGAAACTTGATGTACAAAGTTAAATTAACATATAATTTCCCATATTGAAAAACAATTGTCATAATATCTCTTGATTTACAAACTTTTAAACCTGAGAAAGTATAGTACAAATGATACAGTTAAGTTTTGTTATAGCATGTGACGTTTAGGACAAATGATGTAATTCCTACAAATATATGCACAAGAAGATGACATACCTGAGTTATCAAATAATGAACATCCATGTAATGATTTTTGCTCAGTGACATCTCACATTCAGTCTAAATAAAGAGTGAATGTGTTTAAAGTAGCTTAATTGAACTAATAAACATAAAAAAAAGATATCTAAAACCGAATTCTTACTCGGCTGTCAATGGTGGTTCTGGAGAGAGAAGCTTGTATGCCACCAGGTGACATGAAGTTTGAAACTTTGGATAACCAGTTTTGGACACCCATTAAAACCAACTCAAATTTAAGAAAATTTTATCATTAAGAATAAGTTTTTATATTCACCTACCTGAGAGTAGGTAGTGAAGCAAGATTTGATCCTCCAATCCGGATACTATACTTTCCCTCTAGGGGCGCCACTGCCTTGATCTGCAAACAGCTAGGAGCAAGAGCAATTATTTCATGCTGATCCTGTCAGATTGACCAGGAAACATAGTCAAAGCACCACAGAGCATAATCTTACCTTAAAGATCATTTTTGCATACCTTACCCTAGATTTGTGGTTATATTTATTAATAACCTAGATTACATATTATATTCAATGCCTGTAAAATGAAAGATTTACACATATATGGACAAAAACACATGAAAACAAATATCAAGTAACAAAACATCATTATTCGTGCCCACAACCAAACCTGACAAAATGGTCTACAACCCATTCATAGCAATAGGAACTCTTCATATTGTTGCCATTCAACGAAACAATAGAAACTCTTTATATGTATGAATTTGTGCGTTTGTAAAGTAGATATAAATATAAAAGCTTACAGTATTATATCTAATTATTTGTGTGTGTGTGAAAGGTGATGAACACTGCTGCACTTCAACAAATCTGAATGCAAAAAAGAAAAAAAAAAAAATCTTCAAGAGATCAAAACAACCCTCTTGCTATGAGAGTAAAACTGAATCATAAAGGATGAAAAAACCTTATTGAGATGGAAATGCCTTTGTATCATCAACCAATAGATCTCAACTAAATAGCTCCAATCCCGATAAAAAAAAGGAAGCAAACCAAAGAATTCAGCAATTATCTGCATCTGCATCTGCATCTGAAAAATAGTAAAAGTTGGTTACTATAACATTCAAAATCATAAAAGTACAATTAACAGAGTAGCTTTTAGTCTCATGAGAACCTTCTAAAATTCATAATCAAGTGGGAGAGATAGGGGTTGTTTAGAGGCAGTGGAATGCAAACCTTATCCCAAAATCGTAAGAGATATATACACAACAATGAATGAGTCCAGATTCATGCCATCAAAAGTCTGAACTACTCCAGTATTAAGGATTTGAATAAAGCAACAAAGGGATATTTTATTTTAAAAATTTTAGAACCCACAAATCACAGTATCATATGGGTGGTGGTGATATTAGTGTTGATTGGTGGCTACCCAATCGGGTTACCTACCTAAATGAAATCAAAAGAAAAAATAGGAACATGAGGGGATAGAAAGCATTTTGATGAAAACGAACAAATATGTGCTAACCACCGCCTATCAGATCCCACAACAGCTCTGTTACCTCCTCCCCACTCAACCTCGATCTCTCTCTTTCTCCCTATCTGCTTGATATTTCTTTTCTTTCCAGTTTTTTGTTCTGTCTTAACACATCCAATTGAAAAACGTTTAAAACAACACAAAAGACTCTTTTATCCAACAAAAATCATCGATACGAAACTGGAGATGGTGGGGATTGACTGTGGTGGTGGCTAGAGAGATGAAGGAGCGTTGTCACTGGCTCAAAAAATTCAAAGTCAGGGAACAGGGGCTGGGAGCTCTAAGCTAGGCTTATTTACAGAGATTACTTAGCGAGAGATGAATGAGTTTGTGATGGTCTCCGATTAATGAGTTTGATGATTGTGGTGGCTAGGGTTTCTCATTGCACCGATGGTCGAGGAGGGTGCCCAGGTGGCGAAGATGGAGTGGGGTATAGGTAATAGCTTGCGGTGATCTCCAATTGAGGG